ACTCGGCTGTGCCTGCTGCCATGCGCGGGTTAATGGACCTCTGCCTCCCGCGGCTGGTCCCTGGCTGCCGTGTCCCTGCCAGCTCAATGAACAAGCAGACCCTGAAACGTGCACGGCGAGTGTTTTTTCCTGCTGTACAGCTGGGAAGGGGCTTCCCGGCTGGAGGGAATTTCTCTCCCTGCCTTTGAGAATGATAGGAAGTTTATGGTGTGTTGCAGAGTAGCAGCTGTACATCTTTTTTTATGATGATTGGTATGATTTATTGTTACAATGTTGCAGTGTTTATTGGAGAAAACTGAAATCCTTGGCAGAGCTGTGAACTTTGTACCACACAAAGATATTGGTAGCAACTGCTCAGAATGTGTACGTTCTTTCCAACATTTCAGAAAAGCCCCACCTGGGCTTGCACAGGAAGGTCACCATTTTGTGGTGGATTTGGGACTTCAGGTTTAGTTTTCTTTGGATTAAAACCTAGCCCTCTGCCTGGCCACAGCAGTGTCCTATCTCCTCTCACAGAAAAGAGCAGTGGACTGGATGGGCTCCTTCAGAGAGGTAAATTCTGATTAGAGAGGAGCCGCGGTCTTGGGAACTCTGGTGGTTTGCAGGATGCCAAAGACTTACCCCCACAGTTTATCAGTTGGCCGGATCGAGAGTAAGGATCTGGGAAGCCCTGGAGAGACAAACTGCTGAGGGTCAACATGAGTTAAGGATTTGGGACTTCGGTGTCCCCCAGGCTTGCCAGTCAGGATGCGAAGAGGATGGCTAGATGCTGTTCTAGAGTGGTGGTGGAGAAGGTGAATTTTGATATTCCAACCATATAACAATGCTAGAAAGCAGCTCTAGGACCGGTGCCAGAAGTGCTATTCTTTTAATGAATTGACAGGCAGTTAATTTCTGACAAGTGCTACTTGCTACTACTGCCTCTTTTCTTGCGAGTACCACTGCCTCTAACGTGATGTGTTATTCCTATGCATTTTGCCCAAAGGAATTTTGCAAACCTTTATCATATGAAACCCTGCTAAGCGTAAGAGATTAGGAAGATTTATTTGCAGTACATTCTTAAACGAAGTATTTTTCTACCTCTTGCTTTGTTTCAAGAAAGATACTTGCCTAAATTTTTCAGGCTTCTGCTTTGAAGAATGGTGTCTATTAGCTTGCTGACAACCAGCAAGTGATTTTTGTGAAGATGAATATTCCTTTCAAAAGTATCCAGAAGCTTAAAACCACTTATAAAATACGGGCAATACTCTAAAATGCTCAGGGGATGTAACAGAAATGTAAAGGGTCGCAGCTATGTTGGTAGAATCAAAAAAATGTTTCCTCTGGAATAAATAAAAAAGGCTCCATCCACATCAATCTGCTGGGCTTAAGCCATTTTGTGCTTGCAGAAGGTTGTTCAGTCCTGAATCAGTTATTAACTTATAAAGTAACTCAAAACTAAATAGGAAACTTGCTGTATTTTATGGCATAGAATAAGTTGGCTATGCATCTATGGAGACTTACATGGAAATAATGCAAGTATTCCCGAAATGAATATGTGAGATGTCACTTATTTTTGAATGTGAACAATATAAAATAGAGTATTTTTCTTCTTAGTAGTGTGTAGATAAAGTTCTTACAGCTGGTTCAACATTTTCTGATGGAGTGCTTTTCCAATCAAAATGCTATTACATCAAAATACAATTTTACTATCAGTTTATTGGTTTTCCAATTTTTCTTTTAAGTGAAAAGGTTAAAAGGTCTTGGTGGTGTTATGACATTTCATTTTACCATTTTTTGAATGTAATATTTAATCTCTTTTTTTTTTTTAATACCAGCTCCATCACTACCTTTTTTCCCCTAGACTGCTTGATTGTATTCCTCCTCCCTTTTTTTTTTCTTCTTAAGTTTTTGGTTGGCCAAAGGAGAAAGAAAAAAGCCATTATGTGGAAATGGAGTCATTCAGTGTTTCATTTCAGTTTATGAGAACAAAATTTGAAGTTACAGAGTTTTGCATGAACCAACAATTCCAGTTGCTGCAAGTGGCTCCTCTTACTCTCCCCCTCTCCCTGTGTCATTTTGCCCCTGATTTCTAGAATAATTTTTTTTTTTTGAAACAGAATTGAAATATTACACAGAATGCACCATCTTTCCCGTCCTGGAGAGAAACTGCTAGTGACTCGTTGTCAGTACCTAATGGTCAGGAGAAGACACGGGGCAGGACGTGGCTCACCACAGAAGGTGGCCTAGCGTGCAGTGAGGGCGGGCATTCCACCTACATCTCATCTCCCAGCACGTACTGTGGTGGCATTGCCTAGAGCTCTTGGATAATGGAGGGTCATTTCAGTTAAAATCAGACATTTCTTGACAGCAGCTTTGGTGTGTTACTTGCTGTGATCTGCAGCATTATCTCGCACTCTTGGGAGACAATAAGTGTAGAGTTTGTGTGTAACTGTAGGTGTAGTTTAATATTAACCAAGAGAGGTTATTCCTACTGTGTACCTACCACTTACCTAAAGCTTTTCCTGTAGACTTGAAGTTTCAATATTAGCCAGTGATTTTGATACATATCTGGGGACACTGAGAGTTTGGAGATGCAGGTGACCCTACTTCAGTCGAGACCAGCAGCGTGGCTGGTTAAACCTCTGAACAGCTGGGCTGGCATGTCTCAAGTTGGCCACTAAAGGCCATGGGTAACTTGTAAATGTATTTCTTCTCCATTGTGGTCCAACTATTATACAGAAAATTGAACCATGTGGATGGTGAGTGTTCAGGAGTCCTGTCCCTGACAGGATGGAGACATACACTCTCCTTGCACTTCAGCCTGGAAGTTTAGCCATGCAACTCTGGTCACAGCAGAAGGCATGACTTGTGTTTTCCACCCTTTGCTGTCTGACTAGAACGGAAGAAGCCAGTCTTCCATATATTCCTGCAGTAATTTTTAGATGCTACGAGTAAACATGATGGAACCACAGGAGCAGCTGGGATGTAACTCATAATCATGTGAGAGAAACATGAACTCACACTCATCTGCTTTGGAGTTAGAGAATAAAACAAGCCCCAGTTTCAAATGTTTTCTGAAAAAATTTTGCACTCCTTCCCGTCTTTTTCTTCCTCAGGTGTCAAAAGCAAATTTCAGACTATCTTTACCATTAGCGGAAAAAAACCCCTCACCCCAGTATTTAGCTGCTTATGCAAATAATTGATTTTTGTTGCATGTTGGCAAAAGCTTATAGCAAGGAAGCACTGAGGTTAATTTCTGAGGTCTCCTTTCCCCTTCCCCCAAAAGGTTAAGTAGTTAACAAGTAGTTAAATCAAATGGAACTTTCCGCTCTAACATGTAAAATATTATTTTGGAATTAATACATTTCAGAAGAAATTTCAAATGTTATACGTCAACTTTTTAATTTGACAAAATAACTCATTGAAAAAGTTTCTGGTCTTACTGTATTTCACCTGAAGCAGGTAGACACATTTGGTACCAGTAAATCATTTCAAATTACCAAAATATGATTCCCCATATTCTCCAAACGCTTCGAAAGTTTCACCTGCAAAATGCTGTCGGCTAGGAGAATGGCTGCTTGCAGTGAGCTTCTCGTGAATAGTCATCATGAATGGTGTTGGAGAAATCCAAAGGAAATAGCTTCAAGTCACAATTAAATTTGGGAAAGTTTTCAGCTGTTTCTGGATATCTCGTGATCAGGAGAAAGGCTTTTCAAATTATTAATCAGAGTTTAAATTCTTGTCCTTAATATAAAGGCAGGGAAAAAATTAATTGCTCTACGTGTAAGTTGGAGACGTTCTCTGATGTTTTCTGGGTTATTTGGCTGAATGTTGTATTGGGTAACAGTGAAGGATTTTACGATTGTGCTATGTGATTTGTAGTTTGTATTCAGGGTACCTGTTAGACTCTGGGAGCTT